TCTGAATTTCAAGGGTATGGTTACTGTTGCCTTGTTTAAAATGCATGGAAATCGGCCGGGTTAGCTGCGCTTTGTACTAGTATTTCAGATAAGCTAAATGGTTGTGCTTTGTAAGCTGGTTTTTGTATTTGGTGCATCTTTGAGATAACTTTTACAAACACACATTTTTTTACTAAAATTTATAGTCGACTGAATTTCCATTTCGTTCTTGGTCGAATAGGTTGTTGGATCTGGTACCACGAGGTGGCTGCTTAATTATCTTTGTTCTGGGTTGCGGTCTTTTTCCACGGGGTTCAGGGGTGTCCATCGTTCTCCCAGCGCAGTGGGAGGCGCAGGGACGAGGTGAGCCGTATGTTGGTCACGCGTACGATTTTTGTTTGTTTATGTAGTACAGTGGGCACCTGGAAAATGGGAGGGTGCATGGGGTGAGGCAGAGGGGGTAGTCGAGGATGTCGAGGTCCATGGTGATGTTGGCGGCCACTGCCCCTATCTTCCTCCCTTTGCTGATGTCGTACTGCCCCGGTCTCCTGCGGGGGTCCTATCCCTTCCGCCCTTCCTTCTGGCAGGCGGAAGCACTAGAACATAGTAGAAGGGAGCGGTGGCAAGGCCACCCGCCGGATCCCCCTTCCCCACGCTCCAGCTCGAGCTCAATGTGTAGCTTCTATGCAGCGGGTCTCTACGCCGCGACTCCTCCCCGCCGCGCTCGCGTAGGGAGCACACACACTCCTCCATCATTGCTCTTCTCCGCTGCCTCGGTGTGTTCTCTGTGCCACCAAATCCCCGTTGTGCCAACAAATCACCAATATGTGTGTTTATCGCGCGCATCACTGTTTCTGAGGATTTTCTTAGCATCCAACCGACTCCTCCGAAGCCTTTAAATTGGCGGCCCGCACCCCTTGGACCGGATCCCCATCGCCACGGCCCACAAACTCCTCTCGCCCCCGCCCAATCGATTCCGAAACTCTACAGCTCGCCGCCGCCGCCGCCGCCGAGGCCGCCCATGGGAGCCCTCACGCTTCTCGGTGGCGAGCACCAGCAGCAGCCACCGCAGATCGTCCCCTCGTCCGCCGCCCCCGAGCCCGCGCCATCGGGATCATCCACCCGCCGCCCGACATCCACGTCATCATCGAGAAGACGGCCACCTTGGTCGCCGAGAAAGGGGCCCAGTTCGAGCGCCGCGTCGTCCGCCCACAACCAGGGCAACGCCAAGTTCAACTTCCTCCAGCCCTCCGACCCCTACCACGCGCGCCTACTACCAGCACCGCGTCTCCCAGATCGCCGACCAGCCAAGCCGCCCTCCTCCTTCCTCCTGAATATCAAGTGACCAGCGATAACATATTGCATATCTTTAATCTATCGCAAAAGGAGAAGATATTGTATGCTTAATCTGAATTTCAAGGGTATGGTTACTGTTGCCTTGTTTAAAATGCATGGAAATCGGTCGGGTTAGCTGCGCTTTGTACTAGTATTTCAGATAAGCTAAATGGTTGTGCTTTGTAAGCTGGTTTTTGTATTTGGTGCATCTTTGAGATAACTTTTACAAACACACATTTTTTTACTAAAATTTATAGTCGACTGAATTTCCATTTCGTTCTTGGTCGAATAGGTTGTTGGATCTGGTACCACGAGGTGGCTGCTTAATTACCTTTGTTCTGGGTCGCGGTCTTTTTCCACGGGGTTCAGGGGTGTCCATCGTTCTCCCAGCGCAGTGGGAGGCGCAGGGACGAGGTGAGCCGTATGTTGGCCACGCGTACGATTTTTGTTTGTTTATGTAGTACAGTGGGCACCTGGAAAATGGGAGGGTGCATGGGGTGAGGCAGAGGGGGTAGTCGAGGATGTCGAGGTCCATGGTGATGTTGGCGGCCACTGCCCCTATCTTCCTCCCTTTGCTGATGTCGTACTGCCCCGGTCTCCTGCGGGGGTCCTATCCCTTCCGCCCTTCCTTCTGGCAGGCGGAAGCACTAGAACATAGTAGAAGGGAGCGGCGGCAGGGCCACCCGCCGGATCCCCCTTCCCCACGCTCCAGCTCGAGCTCAATGTGTAGCTTCTATGCAGCGGGTCTCTACGCCGCGACTCCTCCCCGCCGCGCTCGCGTAGGGAGCACACACACTCCTCCATCATTGCTCTTCTCCGCTGCCTCGGTGTGTTCTCTGTGCCACCAAATCCCCGTTGTGCCAACAAATCACCAATATGTGTGTTTATCGCGCGCATCACTGTTTCTGAGGATTGTCAGGGAAGGTCGCCGGGGAGGGAGGCATGGAGGACGTGGGGCGCAAAAGGTGGGAGATGGAGAAAAATAAGAGAGTCTGCGAGGTGAGTCCGTGATAAGGATGGCAATTTTACCCATGGGTATGGGTACCCGCGGATACCGTACCCGCATGGGCAGGGTATGGGCACAATTTTATATCCATGGGTAGTACCCATACCCTACCCCTCAAGTCATGGGTAGGGCACGGGTATAGCCTTTTACCCATGGATATACCCATACCCTACCCGTGCATACTGACATGTGAAACTTACCCATAATTCACAAGAGTACCTGTGTTAAATTTGGTTTCTGAGTTTATGAACCTTTGTTAAAGTTGTCACCAATTGTCAATTTTAGTTGAGCAGGTACTCATCTATCTGTTATTGAGTTGAGATCAATGTTTTTTGTGAAATGTGCTATAGATTAATGTAAAATTGTGAATAACTTGTGTACTGCTTGATCTACCCAATGGGTATGGAAACCCATCGGGTTTGGGTATGGGTAAAGTTTCATACCCATGGGTACGGGTATGGGTATAATTTTGTACCCATTGACTACACGGGTATGACTATGGTAATGCTCTACCCGACCCATACCCTACCCATTGCCATCCTTAGTCCGTGAGTGCAACGGGCAAGGGAAAAGAGCGAGATAATTACACCTATAGTCCTTGTACTCTCCGACATGTAACACCATGGTCCTCAAACTCACAGAGTGCTCCACTGCAGTCCCCAAACAAGAGAATATGCTCCAATACGGTCCTGCCTACGTCTCCCGCTTCTCCCTGTAATACCATACAAGTGTGGGCCCCGCATGTGAGAGAGAATTGGGTGGAAGAAAATTGTGCGCATGAGATTCAAACCTGAGACTAATAGTTAGAAAACAGCCAAGCTAACCACTGATCCAGTTAATTCCTGATGTGAAACACTGGTGTAAAGTTTGTATAAATTCATTTTTGCATCACGCCATTAGCAGTACATATAATTAAGTTTTCCTGATGCTTATTCTATTTTAAAAATATCTTCAAGCGATTTTCCTGATGCTTATTCTATTTTCATTTTATTTTACCAAATTACTGTTGTTTTTGCTTTTCTCATATAAACAAATCCAGTTGTAGTGCATTTTAAATCAATAATCTGTTCTCATTAGTTTATGCCTTGAAGAGGTAAACATGAACTTAGGGAAATTATTTGGATTTAACAAAAAAAGGAGGAAAATTTATGTATCTTCATTCAGGACTACAAGCTCGAGCTTTTATTTTGTATCCTCATTGTATTTTTAAAATACAAAACTATTTAAAAACTTGACAACGTTTTGTATAATGTTCAGCGTGGTTTTAGAAAATATTTATATTTTTATCCAACTATACGCCCAATTGCAGATTTTTTTTATTTTCAAGTTCGCCTTTTGAACTTTTCCCATTCTAAAAAATAAATGTATGTAAAAACTAGAATAATTATTAATACGTAATTTACCTATATTATTAAAAAGGTATAAAAATAAAAAGGGAAAATAAACACGAATTTTTTAGGGAAACACAAAATTG